AAGGCAAGGGTCAGCTCCCACACGCCCACCCATCTACCACCTACCTACCAGTGACTCAATAAAAGCTGTTCTCGGGCCAGCTGCTCAGTTATCCTGGACCAGCAGCTTGGAAAGTCACGGCAGAGGCATGTGCATGTGTCCCCGAAATCCGTGAGGGAGGGGTGGCGATGTGGCCATCCCCCCGGGGCGATTTCTCACTTTCCCTCTCTCCAACAAGCACACACACCCTATGCAGAAAAACAGACAAAAGCCTGTTCTTAGGTCCTCGCCTTCTCTGGCTTTTGTCAAATTTCATTCCTCACAGGGTGTACAAGCACGCAGCCTCCAGGGTTGCAGTCTGGGCCACCTTACCTTTCCCCTTCCTGACATGGAAGACACAAAGCTTACTGTTCACCCCACCACGAAGGGAGACCCGAAACATCTCGTCCAACTGGACAGCCCTCCACTATGAGTAGAGGTGCAAGATAAAGACGTTAATTCAAAATAGGGCCCAACTGCAGGCGTCGTCGGTGCTGTGGGCACGCCACCTGCCTAGTTTAGCTCCGTCCCATGGCACTCCAATCTGAGAACACCGACAGGCTTCAGAAGGCAGTGTCCCGGGATGCTGATGGCAAGCTCCTCCCTCCCTCCATGAGCTGGGAGCATCACCATGAAGACGGCACACAGGGTGGCACATCACCCAGGGCGCTGGGGGTCGCCAAGCATTTCTCTGCTCCCACTATGGGGAAGAGGGCTGGCAGAGTTGAGGGCGCAGTCACAGGCTAGGCCACTTGACATGGACTGACCACCCTGCAGGCCCCGAGGCCATGTTCATCGGCTCACCACGTGATGAGCACCCAGGCTCCAGGGCCTACTGCCGGAACACGTGCAGCTCTTCAGGGGCAAACTGCAAAGGTGACTCCACCGGACACCAACTCTCCCCCAACCCCAAGGAAACGAATAGCTCAGATCAGCTCAGAGCGCTTTAGCACGTCATCAACTCAGCGTGTCCCTTTTTTAGATGACCATGATACATGTGAAGTAAGACAAGGAAGATCTACTTTTCTCAAATGTGGAGAAGACTTTATTTTTTTAAGGTTTTTGACAATGGGCACAAACGCTTGCCAGAGAGAAGGGGAGTGAGAAAATGCCCCCAGGCGGGCGGGGGTGTGTGTCAGCAACCCCTTCTCCTCCACCCTCAAGATTCTGCATGCACAACCGGCATGATTCTGAAGCCGTGATGTCTGGGACTCGAACTGCAGTCAGCCATGTGAGTCCTGCACTGAACTACCACGCCACCTGCTGGCGCTAGGGAGGACGTTTTAAAGCTATGTCCGAGACCTTCCCGTTGAGACCCTCAGTGGACATGTCCCTCAGGCGTCTTTTCTTCCGAGTAGAAATCGCTCACTCTTTCGAGATGTAAGCAGCTACGCAGCAGCTCCAGTTACGGGGACTGAAAGCGGCCTTGCCTTTTCATGGAACTCACTTCCTTGCACTGGTGACGCTTTCGCATTTCCACATAAGACCTAAGGCTCAGCAACTCAGAGAGCTGTTAGTGCACTCACCTAGACCATGTGCCTGCAGCCTCCCCGCCCAGCGCCCAAACAAGGCCTGCAGTTCTCGATGGCCGTGGCCACCGCCTAGCACAGAAGTCCCGGGGAGCGTCGCCATGCACACACACCGCCGGGGCCGCCCGTCCTGTGCACATCGAGTCTCCCTTTCAGGAACTGGACGCAGGGGGGCACTGGGCAGGTTCGAGTGAGTGGCCCCCGACTTGGGTCTGATGTCTCAGTCACACTGCACCGCCGGTACCACGACCACACCTCACTGGGGCCCTTGACGGCAGTGTCTCGTGACTGCGGACGCCGCTCCAGCACTTGCTTCAGGTGGTATCCGGGTGCTCCCACTGTCAAGTTACTGCTTGGTTTTTCCCTTTGTGATTTGTAATTACCCCAGATGAGGCCCTGGGGACTATGTAATTGTAACAGAGTAGGGGAGGCCCAGTGTGGGGTCCTGGGTTAGATCCTGAAACAGAAAAGGGTGGAAGGAGAAAAAAGAAAGAAAAGAAGGCCTATAACTCAGCCATCAGTGCTGTGCTGAAGATAACCTTCTGTTCCACGGATGTTTGGTTATGTACGATGTCAACATTAAGGGAGGTCGGCAAGGTCAAGGAGGAAGCTCGCTGAAGCACTTTTGGAAATTTCCTGTAAAATCTAAAATGACTTGTTGGCCAAACTGCAGGTTCCGACCCCTGAATCTGGACGAGGCCTGGAAATCTGCATATCTCAGACCCCAGGTGAAGCGACCACTCCTGCTGGCCTGCGGGCCACTCTGCCAGCAGGGCTCTAGCAACCAGAGCTAACTTCCTTTTCATCATTTTTTAGTAACTTTATAATTTTTCTAATAAGAGGACCATGTGACCACCAGAGGAGAGACAGACAGAAAGCACTCCCCAGTGGGGTGTGGTCACACAGCAATCCTTTCTCCACTTCTCCATCCTGTTGGGATTCAGAGGTACCCAGGTTTTTCAAGGACTCATTCTGCAGTCAGCCGTGTAGGATTCGGCTCCCTTACCACCAGACTAAGGCCTGAACCAGCTAAGATGCATATGCCATGGACAGCAAGCACTGCTCTGCTGCAGGGACACCTTCCACTGCTGCTCAGTGCTCTGTGATCCCAGCACACCTGCCCAGTGGGGGGCCAGCAGAGGACTGCTACAGGCCCCAGGTCTCTGATGGACCCCCCCCCCCACTCTCAGGTTGCAGTGAGGGAACACCTGCCCCATGGTAACTGGCAGGTAGCTACAGATGGTGAGTGGCCCCACCCTGACTTAGTGGCTACTGTCCTTAGGATGCAAGGCAGCAGGACCGCAGAGTCAGAGGACAGGCTTCGACTGTGTCCAGGGTGAGCAGTTGGTCACATGGGTGGGCGCCAATTAGCTGCTGATTTTTGGTCAGGTATACAAGAACCCACAGGAAGGGGACACAGACGCCTGATGAAGACAGGAAGCAGTGACCTGGAGCACACAGGGCTGGGGCCCAGCCTGCCAGCACCAGGGCCAACCCAGGACCTCAGAAGGGGGCACAGCAGTGACTCTCCCACCCCTCCAGGGCGGCAGGGCAGCTCCCAAGCTAAGGGGAGCTGAACAGCCCAGAGGAAAACCGTTCCAGGTTCGCAGGGACAAGCCCACAGCCCCCGGAAGAAACCTCTACGTTTTCAAAGCCCTAGAGACCCAGGGCTCTCTGCCAGTTTCCTCCTACCTCAGAAAACAGTAATTGTCCTTATCTGGGAAGGCCCTGACATACAGAACAAGAAGCCAACATTTAAGAAAAAGTGACACCAAGGGCAAGAAAAAAATCAAGAGAAAAGAGAACTGAAAAAAAACCTTATTACATGCCCCAGATGCCCCAGAATCAAAGACATATGGGATTTATAAAATAAGCTACTATGAAAAAGGACCAAGGGAATCAGCAGTTAGCGTAATGGCTATGTCGTTGGACTCCCACGTAGTCGACCGCGGTTCGCGTCCCGGACCCAGTGACTTAAAACTCACGCCGGGTGCGTGTGAGTGCGTGCCCAAGATCCTGAGAGGAGAATGGAGAAGGGATTGCGGCGTGGCCATCCCCTCTGGGGGTGATTTCTCGCTTGTCTGGCGAGCGCAGCGCCCTATAGCGAAAACCTCTCCAAAAAAAAAAAAAGGACCAAGACATTCTCGGACATTAATATTCTGATTGTGAGAATTAGAAATGGTAAATAGGGAAACAAAATAAACTGAAGCCCTTCCCAGAAACCAGAATAAAAATGGTACCAGAGACAGGAGATTTTTTTCAAGAGGCCAACCCGAGAAGCCTATCACAAACCAACAGGCACGCTAACATCTGAGTGGGACGAGCCTTCGCAAGGCAGAGGCTGCCCTGGGGCCAAGCGCAAGCCCCCGAGTCACCAAGTGATGGATGTCTCCACCCCGAAGTCCGAGCCCACAACTCCCAGGGAGGGAAGGTCCTCCAGGACTGAGTTTCCCAGAGAAATGAAGAAAGTCAAGACCATCCGATGGAGCCCTGGACACCCCCGGACTGCCCAGAGGGAAACCCCGGAATACACAGGAAATCCCTGTGCGCAGGGAACGGAGTCCCGAGGGAGGGAAGGGAAGACGAGGGTTTGGCTCCATCCAGAAGATGCCGAGAAAGGGAGCAGAGGCAAAGAAAAACAAAGGCCTTCAAGAACCACAGAAAAAATTAA